ATACCTGGTTTCCCGGCTACTGGTACCCGGAGACGGCGTGCGGTTTTAATTGGTGGGTGGTATCCGAGGGGAGAAGGGACAAGGACACAGGGCAAGGACACCTGCACAACTCAGGAGACACAAGTGTGGTACTGCCCTTTGAATGCCCCTCCCTTTTGAATTGTGTCTAGAAATTCAAAACCTTAGTTTTTGAGGTCATATACATAATCTATATTTACCTATATATACATATATGTACATGTGTGCATTTCATTTATATATTTATACTATTATAAAGACTTATGTGATTGAAGTATGCAACCAACATTCAATGGTTTATGTCTAAGTATTTACCGACAACCAACGAATGCATGAATTCATAAAATTACCTCAATGTTCATGATTAATAACAATTGTTGGGTGACAACCAGTTAAGTAGAAGTAGTCAATATTAAGAGAACACAACAATGTGATACTAATTATTACAACTAGTTATACTATATCCATTGTGAATGAGTTATGATTTGCACAAACCAACTTAACACACTTTTCAATCTTACCATTACTTATAAATACGAAAGATTTAGCGGATGAATGTTTGTTCTCAAGTATATTTCCATATATAGATTAAATTTGGCGACTAGTCTCTAGTCTGGAATAGCATTTAGGTTACTTATACCCCGGCAAAATCGATTCGACTTTATCGCGAGCGAAGTCGTTGGCAAACGATTATTTTAGTTTAATTTATTCATTATTGTACACAGATTAGACATAGTATTTAAATTAAGCTAGTTCTTAGTATGAAATCCTGAAAAAAAAACTTAATAATATGAGTTCTAAAATTATTGAGCATTTTTAGATTTAATCTATAATTTAATATTTGAAATTACAGAGTTAGCCAGAACAGGGTTCAACCCTCTGATTTTATTCACTTAATTAGTAGTCTAGCACTGTAATTGAATGTTATTAGTCTGGAACCCTAATAAAAGATATAACGTAAGTACAAAGAACCCTGTGTAATTGTACCTACCTATTATTAAATTATAAATCTGAGAAGTCTGTTTATTTGAAACGCGCTAATGACGAAGACTTTTAGTCAGATTGAAAAGGAAAATAAAAGGATTGAACGATACTAAATTAAGGAGAAAAAATCACTATGCTACACTGCATATAACTAACACATGGGTTAAATTTGAAAGACTGCCAATCCGGCCCGTGGCGCCTGATATAATAATAATAATAATAATAATATATCCCCACACACTCACACACGGCTGTGCTAAATGAAGAGAAGGTAATATAATCACCCGACCAGTGTGGGCTAGGTAGTCAGTAAGGTTGACGAGACACAAATAGTTAGGAAAAAATAGAATTTGAAAAGTTTTCATGTTATAATTATTTATACACATACCTATTATATATATCTATCATATTGAGTAAATATTGATCCTACTATATGAGTCAAAGTAATTCAAGGTAATTGTCAGATTACTTCTCGAAACCGCCTGAATTGGTTTAGATCTTACATGACCAATATACCAGTCATGAAATTTCGACAGATGTTGAGAGAATGTATGTGATTCTTTGTCAACATAGCTAAAAATATTTTAATAGATTTTACTAAAAAACTTAGATTCTTACCGTGCATGTTCAATACGCGCATGTCCGCAATGTTTTATGATCAGAAGGACCTCTGAACACTGACAGCACAAAACTTCATGATTCTGGTTGGTACAATAACTTCCATTTCACAAAATAATTTATATCCCCAACCTTAAATCAATTGCATAAGAGTGACTATTCTCAGGTATATAAAAAACACTTTTTTTTTGAAAACAGATTAAACTGTAAACGCTATAAAAGACTTATTGTGCTGCAGGTAGTGCGAACGTAAAAAAAATGTTATGTTTTAAAATGTCAAAGTATGCTACAATGCGTTTATTGATTCGACCTAGATTTTACAGTTTCGTCGGGTCATGCAGCGCAGATAACGCCAACTGAAGTTGCTGTGATTTTTCAGAAATAATAACAGATAGTATTTAAATATGCAAAGACGACTATTATATTTTGTTGCACTAATATTTAGGCTATACGTAGATTTATTTTATATAAACTTGAAGTATTAAAACCATACATAACAAAGTATCTTCACGAAACGGTTACGTAAACTTCTATGTTTTGCTTTACAAACTTCAAATTTTATTAAAATAATTGCTATAAATTGGTACAACATATTGTGTAAGCTCGATGAAAGGAGGTTATCAGTGACTGCATTGCTAGAATATGTAAGAATGTGTTGTGCGAGTTTCCGATTACGTTATCAGCCTTCAATCAGAACTTAACCTATTTTCAATGTATGAATCTGACAATATATAAAGACTTGCACACAGTTAAGTTACAAGTTATACAAAAAAAGGAAACTTAAATCCTTGATTTTTTAAATTAAAAAAAAAAGATTTTTAATTTAGAAAACTAGATATGTAATTAAAACGTCAACCTTAATTTTTATTTAAAGACATGGTGATTTACGAATTCTTTGGATCTTGAATGTAAATTTAAATACTCACTAATTTAATTCTTAGGTATTGAGTGTAGATGCTGATTGGGGAACCATTCTCCGATTCATTATTTCGATTTTATGAATACATTACGCATGATAGAAAATAAGCCAGATGGAAGTTGTTGAAGGAAATTTCGCTTATCGTACCACTACTACTATGTAAGAGGTCATCCCGTTCCGTATTCAGATATCGTTTGCGATATAAGTTGTCGCCTAATAAGCAAAAATTCTCGGATGCTGCCGTTTGGCTATCGTCAGCTCTTAAGGATAACAATTTGTATTTTTGACACGTTTTAATAATACAATATTTATTTAGTTTTTAAAGGCCTAAAACTATTTGACTAGAAGAAATAACCGTAATAAAATGTTAAAATGGGTATTGCAAGGACACATTTTTTATTTTCGCATTTTATGACATCTAGACGCATAACATTAGATAATGCATTTATCATTACAAATAACTTTTAAAAAAACGCTGCCCTTCAAACAAGTAAATGGAACAAATCAATAACCGTGTAGTGAAGCTACACAACAAACTTGAGTGGAGTCGGCAGGCGATACGAAACGTTTTATCATTTAATTGTAATTTATTCACAAACAATACTATGAGTACTCACAGTGACCCCGGAAGCATACGATTATTAATTTCAATTTAATTTATACTTGAAGGATGGGCAACACTATGCGTTTATTATGAGGGATCATCGAGTGACCGTTGGACCGGTGGACGTAACATGGTAGCTGTAGCTTAATTTACATGTATTGCAACCGGTCCTTCATTCCGGACATTATTTGAGAGATTATAATTATCATTAGGTAAACTCGTTAAAAATGACCATTGTTAGTATGATAACGACTGTATCCCATTAGATAAGTGATATAACAATTGTGGATACTGGTGAACTGGAAGTAGAATTGATTGTGTTAGTATTGTTGTGATAATTTACAATCTTTACTAATATTATAAAGATGAAGAATATTTGTTTGAAAAATTCTTTTAATTTTGGATAGCCCATGGGATTTAGCTTAAAATCTTTGCTTTATCATAGTCACAAAGTTTCTAGGACTACAGATTTAAAGGACCACAGTCCTGGAAATGTGGATGAAATGAGAATCGTAGTGCGAATGCAAAAGCTGTAGACCAAAAAAAGGTCAAGGATCATAGTGATACTTACTCTGAAGGATATTTGCGTCTATTTTTATAATATAGAAACAAATCGATACAGATATTATAACCCGAGTTGGCAAACCACCCCGTAATAGAAATAATGTAATAATGTAGAGTCGTCGAAATAAAATCAATCATTTAGATACGTAAGCCTTTTTTCAGTTTAGGTAGGTTTTAGAACTGGTATATAATTTCTTAAACTACTTTTGAGATAGTATTTTAGGAAATTCGATATGTCTAACGTGATTGATGGGATTACATTTCATAAAGGAACGAGATCAATAGCGAATCCCCTATTTCAATCTAACTCAAAGTCTAGTATAAATAAGTCTTAAAATATGATGTGAAATGTACCTTTAATGGTTTAATTAATTTTTTTCTTTCAATAAATTAATAGTAACCTCTTTTAATTGTATTTCAGCATATTTTATAAATATACTTTTGTCTGATTCTTCATCAATTTTGATAAATAGTACTAGAACCAATTTATAAAACTGTTGTAGTTGAATTATTTCCTTCTCATCTCCTACGCACAAGTTACCGTGATTGCAATCTATATGAGAAGGATTAATTGATTTTGTATGCACAATATTTATGATACAATTTATTCACGCCTCCGATGAAGTTTCTAAAGTTTCGCACTAAAATCCGATAGCGGATTGCAATAGAAAGAGCGGAAGGCGTGTGACGTAATCGGCGAGTATTCCAAGTCTAGGTACGGTGTGGTCAGACAACATTGTGCGTTAACAGTATTTAAGACTAGACTTAGAATTAGAATGTAAGAAGCTAGGCTACAGCGATATATATTGGCTTTTGGAATATAATCATGTTATTCAAACGCGTTTAATAAAAGAAAGCATTAAACCGTGGCATGGTTTAGTATGGAATCATATAATTAACATACAATAATAGTAAAAGTTTAGATTAGATTAGTTATAGAAGCTCACAGTATATGTATATATGATTACTACCGGTCCAGGACAAAGATACTCTTTACTCATAGGAAAGTAAAGCAGAATGGTCATTCAATATTCTAATCATGGAAGCAAATCTTCTGAAATAAATAAGCATGGTTCACAAGATATGTAACTTCATTTTACTGTAAATAATAGTCTATTGCCACATAAAATAATTATATCATTAGTTAGTATGATGGATAAGGGTCTATAGAGTAATAAGGCGATAATTCCCAAACCTTTTTAAGCAGATATTCACATAAAATGTTCCTTTGCCAAATTGTCACGAAAATAAACCTACGATGTGAGAGACGAATTATGAAATGACCGAACTTACCTCAAACTGTGCACTAAATGTTTTAAAGACACCCTCCCAGAGGCTGCCAGACTGTGTGAGCACCTGAACAATGTCGCCGACGTGCGACGTCGCTGCGTGCATGAAGTGTGCGTTGTTGTACACGCCCTCCGGCACCACGCGGCCTCGTGGTGACCTGAAATATACAAAAAAATATTACACTTCTCATACTACGAAGGCATGAGTAGTATAGATGACTCGTTTGCTAATACAAAGAGCAGACGCTGTCAAAGCAAGTAAGAAGACTAAATTTATACAAAGGAAATCCCTGAAACTCTATCGTACAAAAGGCCAGCGCAGACAAAGCATTTCAAGATTTCAAATACTAATTAAATTCATGTCATTGGTTAATTACTTAGAAATCACCATAGTATATATACAACTTTATCTTATTGAAAGATGTAAAACGCTTATAAGTATTGACCATAGTGGCTACATTGATCTTAATTTTGTCATAATTACGTAGACAAAGTCAATATTCTAAAGCAAGTTTATCGTATTTTGTGCGACGAATCTTTTTTGAGCTCATAAATTAAACGAGAGTAACGACGCAAACGAAATAAAAAAATATAATTGTGTATTTTTATCATAAATATGTGGTAATATAGTTCAGTCACCTCGAAATTTTAATTTATGTATTGATTATCTAGATAAATCACAATCAAAAGCCACTAAAAAACGCACTTTTTCCACACAAACCGTATGTAAACTAAAATTATATAGTAATTTGCATTATGGCTCTGTAACGTAAGCGATTACGCTACAAAAGTAGTAAGAATTAACAGGACCGATGATTTTTGTAAAATCCTTATCTTGCTCAATTTGACGAGATTTTAACATAGGTGTATGCTCTATATACATATACTTTTTTAGTCTTTATGTATATAATTTTAAAGAATTAATCAATGAATATCATTTAAAGAGTCTGAAGTTGGCTAACCGAATGACAATAATACACATATTTGTATTATTGAGGTCATTTTATTTAAATCTATAAAAAATAAAAACTACATGCTACCAAAATTTTCAGAAAGGAAATAAAAATATTACAAAAAGTATCAAACAAGCTTGCTTTAGTCACATCGGTAACACAGTATAGTACACAGGCCTTGCGTAAATATCTGATTTTTGTGAAATGCAATTTTGTGTTATAGCTCTTAATAAGCACTAACTTTTATAACCAAAGTAATTAACTCACGCGACCACGTAACGTATCTTGCCATTGTCCAGATCAAGCCTGTTCGTTGTTCAAATACTACCTAGTTTTGTAAACAAAGACTTAAGCTAGTGGTTAGTCGATAAATGCGACGTATTTCTCAGAGGTCCTTGACCGTGATATACTCAAAGTGCAGTCACAGATCGGATCGTTACCCCTTAAATCTGTCTGCGCGCTAGGGAAATTTATAGTTTGTGCGTGTTCGTACATTTCTTTCATACACATGTCTAAAAAACAGTTACATCGTCTCGCTCTACTTGTAAATCAATACCGGGAAATGAGCTCTTGTGGTTATAGTGTGGATGGTATAAGAAATTATTGCTAAGTAGTCCCCTACACTTGAGATGTTAAGACCCCATAATAATTTACTCAAGGGTATTGGTATTCTTACTTAGCGGTTCACTTAAACATTGTGGAATAAGTCAATGTAAAAAACATTAAGCAGGGCTCAAATTTATGACTAACAGAATTTATTGTAAAATTTCTTCACTGTAAACCTTTTAGCAAATAACGTTTAGAACAATTTATTGCTTTTGCAATGACTTTCACTACTTAGCTGTGTCTTAGTGTTTAGAAATACAACTTTCACAAGAAACACTATGATGATGTACATACCGTGTTGAATACTGTTACCTAGTAATATTACTTTACAATATTGTATCTAAATCTATGTTAAAGATCAAACTTATCCTATTTCTCTTTTAAGGTGGAGGGTTGCGATCGGTATTGATTACCTATAACATCAAGTAGGTACAAGGGTGCTGCCTTGAGCCAGGTACTAAGTACTTACAGTTTTGCTTTTACAATTTGCATTGATGCAATTGTACTAATAATATTACAATAGTAATAATAATTATCCACGACCAAAACAAAAACCCTCATGCTAAGTAGCGCTGATGATCTTCGAACGAAAGAATCTCTAAAAGAAAAAAACTTACAGAATAATATTGGTCTATCCGTTAAGGAGGCAGGCATACAAACGTTAAACTTATAATTACACATTTTCTTGCGTCGAAGATGTCATAAAAAGCGTAGGGGTCTTGCACATTAAAAAAGTTTAATAGCTGATGTATCGATTGTCTGGCTTTAAAGCGATCAATATGAAGGATGTCAAAGGACTTTGTTTCGGATTGGCCAGACACAAATAAGGTTTTACAGCCGTCTCACGACGCGCACGGTCAAGGATCTTCATAACAAACGACTTTTTCAAGTTACACTGAACCGAGTGTATTTGTTATATTATTTAATTTAGATTTCCATTTTAGGAATGCTTATTTAATACTAAATAATTGATTTTGTATCATAGCTATGTTTAACCTGACACGCAGTATAGAGAAGCGATTAACTCATAGAACACAAAAGAAAAAAATTTGATTTACCCCGTGGTCTGTGTATACATGCTCTATGCTACAGGTAATAAAAAAGCGTAACGTTGTTTGGTTCTAAGCGAGCTTTTAGTTATTGATTTTTTATTTATGGTGTTTAAAAATGGAATAGCATAACAAAGATAAATATTTTTAACAAATATTCTTTGGCCAGTTTATGGCTGAGGCAATTTCGTACAGGAAACCTTGGATGGACAAATCGATAATAATAATAATGGCTTGTTATAGTCAAAGAAAAAAGTAGCAGAGACGAGGTATTTAGTGCAGACAAGTAATTATTGGGCCATGTTTTACAACTAGGTACGTTGCACTTACAAACATACAATAAATAATACTTAATAGATAAAGCAGCGTAATTAATTTATTAAATTGTTCTCTACAAATACTTATATATTATATTTAAAAAAAGCTTATAGGTATAATAAATATAACAATCCCTACTTAAATACATTGACATTTTTAGATTTAATATTTTAAATCTGTTCAAGTCACCAAGGGGAGAAAGGGAGGAAATTAAGCACAGGTCCTTTGTCAATTTTTCATACTGCTGGTAATTGTGCACGTCTAATGGATCAAAACGTCTGTCCGTGTGGTGACGGATTAAGAATACGGAGTGTGAACACCCCTATTCATTACCAGTGTGTCGCAAGAGCCGACTAAGGGAGCAAACTTTGAGAAAAACAGCACTGCAAAGAGAAGGAAAACTTGACACAAACCCTATACCAACCCGTCTAGCCAGCGTGGTTTAGTACACCTAAACCTCCTTCCTAAGGAGAGGCCTATGTCCAGCAGTTGACTATTAAAAGCTGTTGATGATGATGAATTGATATATGATATGATGATATTCCATAACCTTTACATGTTAGACGTGCATAATAAAACAAAGAGTTTGTTGACTTGGTTGATGCTAATCGCAGGAACTACAGGTTCGAATTGAAAAATTATTTTAGCGTTGGATAACCTATTTTTCGGAAAAGGCTATATGGGCTTTATAACATCAAGCTACGACCAATAAGAGCAGAGCACCAATGAAAAATGCTCCAAAAAGGGGGATAATTTATTCCTTTTGAGAAACGCAGACCAACTTGAGCAGATCAGCTCGTTACTAATATTTCGTAACCGAACAGCTTGTGCATAATGTCGGTAGAATAATGAGTACTGTCAGTTTCAAGGATTACGATTATCTTTGATTTGGCGGATCTAATGAATGGAAACCTGAGGTCACATATCTATTCTAATACCTGTATCTACTTCAAACACTCTTTGATTCAACGGTATATAATCCGGATCGATGGCTCAACACTAGGTGGCTACTGACTCCTATAATATATACACATGTACATTTATAAAAATAACGACAATTACCAACTTCGATTATAACGGAGTTATTCAATTATGTCCATTAGTCAAGCACATAACTCATAACGTAGATTTACCTAATAATAATCAATCATGATAAGTATCTACGTCACTTAAAAGTTACATTTACAAGGATAATTCACTTTCAATTTTTAATATTACAATAGGGTAGTAGAACATTTTGGCAAACTATGATACAGTGGGGCATTGTATCATAGTTTGTCAAAAAATTTAACTAAAATACTAACATATAACTAAAATATATTATTATATAGATACTAGCTCTCTCGACATACGTTTCGTTTTTTTTTTAATTTATTCTCGAATCCACTTGCACATACACATAAAAATCATCAAAATCGGTCCAGCCGTTTAGGAGGAGATATACACATACACAGGCACACAAAAATTATTTATTGATTAATTTAGATATTCAATAAAATACGCCATATCTTGGGAATTCGTGACACATTACAGCTTCTACACCAAAAAGTTTTCTGATTGAGATGGCTGACTAGCCAGACCAGCAGCTATTTCATAAAATACCTAATAAAATTGTTTCTTAATATTACAAGTACTGTTAAGCAAGCAAGTGAAAACGCGACAATTTGATCATGAAAAACTATATTGTATATATATCCGGAAGACAGAGCGTAAGTATGCGCCAAGGTGGTTCAACGATGTGATGAAGGTAGGAAGTAAATCGTTGGATGTGGGCAGCACAAGACCAGTTGTTGTGGCAAAATTTGAAAAAGGCCAATGTCCAGTAGTGGACATCTTTCGGCTGAGAAGAAGAAAGATGGTCTAATAAGCGACAAAGACCTAAAAATAGTTACGACTTGCAAGATGGGACGACGTAAATGTATCTTCATTTTCTCGTATGTATGTTTGTGATGACAATTTTAATGTACAACGTAACGTTGTATGGAATTGTGTTAGTAAAGTTGTCTTGTAATAACAAAACATCAATGTTAATTTATATTTTATATTAAAAAGTAGACAAAAGGTTATGAATTCATACATTCATCGTTGTACAATATTTTTATGAAGGCTTACGTTCTTAATTGTTAATTTTCGGTCTAAAGAGTTTTATTTCTCATACAAACTTAAGAGTCCATTTATAATGAGATAAAATGTTAAAAGTAATAATATAATGCAATTACCTGTACAGTATTA